ATGATCTATGACCTGGATCTATATTCTGCTAGTAGAAGTGCAGAAAGAATAAAAAATGTGCATGGCCACATGAAGCAAACAGTCAAAATAAGTGTGCCTGCCTCCAGGTAACTGTCTGCTCCTTGATCTCATTAGATCTCCCATAGTGAGGGCAGTCAGACAAAGCTTAATAATGAAGTGGACTCCAGTAAAGCAGGATGGGAAGAAACAACAACAGGAGGTAAGACAAACACTTAGCCTGAAGTTCCAGGAGAAATCAATCCAACAATTGGTTTGCTGACAAAAAAGGGGTAACACCTTGCTGTCTCCTCCTCTCTAACTCCTCTCCCGTTTCTACATCCTAACCTTTCCTTACTACCCTGCTGCCAGCCACGCGATCTTTTCCCCTCCCTTGCACTGGCTCTGCCTCTTGCAGGACCTTTTCATAAGTGGATTCAACTCATTAAAGCAGGAGAAAACTATCTACTTTTTCTACTGGGGAGTCTTCTGTCATGCTGAGAGTTGATTTATAGAGGTGTACAATAATTGCTTGACATGAAAATATAGTGGACCTTGAAATGCAGCTTTGTGTAGAAATGCGTAGAAATGCACCTTTTTCAGTACTAGTAAGCCATTAAATCTATTTATTCCAATGTACAGCACTGCATGTTTGAAAGAAGTTGGATTAAAGTGGAAGTGGTCAGTCAGTAAATGGAAGAAATAAGCACATGATCAACGTAAGAGGGAAGCTGTAAAAACTATGTACATAGGAATAAGAGAATGTGAGAAAGGAGAAAGGCAGAAGGGACTTTTGTTTACTGAATGTGAAAGTAAAATTATTGAAAGCATTCTGGACATACTGCATTTAAAGTAATTCTCAGTACAGTGTATTTCAAACTGTATATAATAGGAAATTTCCTCTAAAATGCCTTAGCTAAGTGGACGATGTATTGTCATCTTCCTGAATAAACAAGTACCCTGTATATTCTAAAAATTGCAAGCAGCAAGCTATACCTTGCCTACCTCAGTGCCACAGAACCTAACCATACAGGTATTTTGCTAGAGCTTCTGACATCTCTCATAAGTACATCCACACAAAAAAATAAGACTTGATGTCTTAAAATTCATTTCCAGAGTATAAAAATAATACTTACTATTAAATTTTGTTTTGCACAATGTAGTTCAAACATAATGAAATTCAGACTTGCAACTACAGTAGAGATATCAGCTCTGTAGCGATCAGAGAACAAGTCGATACCAGGAATAAGCACATTTATTTCATATTGAGCAAAGTCACAATCAGATGTCGGATGTGGAAGAGAAGCTCTAAACAGGGTCTGAAAGTAATAATAATGAACTACTTGTGAAAAGATGTATAGGCATTAGTGAAACACTATAAAACTCCAACCCTTAAGACTAATAAATGACTTCATAAATGAAACTCAATGTCTTAAGTATCCAGTTGTTCCCAGACAAAACCATGAAAAATCTTTTGTGAACTTGTGTGAACTTGATGGAGAAAAAAAAAAAAACACCAAGCTGTAAATAGTCTAAGGACAGTATTTCATAGAACAAGCAAAAGAGAAAAACTAATCTAGGTGTAGAAAAATAATCATGAAAGATTCCTCAGCAAGTACTCCCCAGGTAATGAAAAATCTTCCTGAAGAGCCAATGGCATTTTTCTCAGATTCCAAGTTAAAGCATCACCAATAAATCTCTTGAAGCACTGGAAAAAAAATGATTAAAAAACCTGTAAGAACCCCTAAATAAGGGGTTCTTAGAAAGATTTCGTAGAACATTCTTAGGATAAGCCTCTGATCACCAGACAGAAAGAACTTAATAATTTATTTAAACATCTCCATAATCAAGGAAAATGCATAGGAAAAATTTTTTGAGATGATTCTGGGGATGTGTTCAAACATTTCTTTACCAGATCAAAGATGTTTCATGGAAAATGTCTTCCATCAGAAGAAAAATCTTTTTATTTTCCCCACAAGTTGAGAAAGCTAGTTTGATTTTACTTAGCCTTAAGTCCTTGCCCCATGTTGTGGTTTAGCCCCAGCCGGCAACTAAGCACCACGCAGCTACTTGCTCACTCCCCCCTCCCCCAGAGGGATGGGGGAGAGAATTGGGAAATAACTCGTGGGTTGAGATACAAACAGTTTAATAGGACAGCAAGAGAGAAGGAAACAACAATGATAACAACAATAATACTGACAAAGGAATGTACAAGAACAAGTGATGCCCAATACAGCGATTGCTCACCACCCGGTGATCAATAGCCCATCCCCGAGCAGCGATTCCCACCCCCCAGCTAACTCCAGTTTATGTACTGGGCATGGTGCCATGTGGTAAGGAATGGCCAGCCTGGGCCAGCTGTCCTGGCTGTGTCCCCTCCCAGCTCCCCAAGCAACCCCAGCCTTCTTGCTGGCAGGCCAGCACGGGAAGGTGGACTGTCCTTGACTACTTAGCAACAACTCAAAATATCAGCACCTTATCAACATTTTCTCATCCCAAATCCAAAACATATCCTCACACTGGCTTCTGTGAAGAAAACCAACTCTATCCCGGCTGAAAACAGGACACCCTGCCATCACCTCAGCCATTGTTTCTGGGAGAGTTACTGACTTTAAAGGCAGTTAAAAGCTAGTTCCACCCTAGTTCTGCCTTTAACTAGGTCAGCTAGTGCAGCTTAAATCATATAACTTAAAATTGATGTGAACTTGGAGGAAGTAAATGTTCCTTCTTTAAAAAGGGAGGACTGCTAACATTGTCTTTGATGTTGGATATTCCTTCCCAACTGTGTTTATCTTGTTGTAATTAGCAGTGATATGCTACAGAAATACGCATTTACATCCTCAGATCTGATATATTAACAAGTCTAAAGCCTATACCAAAGGTGGAATTTAAATAAGGTTACAAAAGCTTTCCAAATCAAGGAACAAATTACGGGCTTGAACTTCACAAGGTACAGTGACAGTAATTGATTATATTTTTCAAGACACTCACCCCGCAAGCTGCTGCTATCCCAATTAATATCAAACTCACATCAGTCAAGTCAGAATTATTTCTACTATTATACAACTGGAACAAATGCTTACTACTATTTCTGTCAAAAGGAGGAATCAAAATTGTTCAGCTTTGTATCACCAGCAATTACAGTGCTAGAAGCTAGTCAAAATTCTCCTTTACCTTTGTTTCTTCAACTTGTTCTCCCTTTGCTTAGGAGGTTTTTAACATGGCCTAGCACAGGTCACACAGCCACAATCATAGCTGACACAAGATGTTAGAATGTGACAGTGGTTTGTTTTGGAATAAGCCAACTAATTTCCTGATGTAGCACAGGGATGAGTAAGCATTGATGCCAGTGGAATATGACTGGCAGAATACTTGCAGTTCTTTTTCCTATCTCACTTTTGTTACTGGTATATTAAAACTTCCTTTTAAAAGTAAATTGAAACACTTATTTCCTCTATAGTTGGTTTCTGAAAGTTTGAAAACTTAATTTTAATGACCTTATTTTCTTTGTAAATGAAACCGAATCATTTTGACTATCTTCTATTTTTAGAGCAAACTTCTTATAGACCTGAGATTTTAGTATTACAAACCAAAAAAGATTCAAAAACTTCTTTTTCTAAAGAGTCTGTTCTCCTGGTAGAAAATTTATGACAATCTATTGAAGATTCTGTACAGATCTGACAGACAGCACTCTGCTATTGTTGATGCCATTCAGCTCTTCCTGAGCAGAACACTTCAAGAGAAGAAAAAAATATTTGACTGCCAAATATTTTAGCCATCTTCACTTTTCAGTATTTCATTATTTCTCTGAGACACTAGCCTCTTTGAAGTGATAATTTTTAGGCTATAGTACAGAAATCATTTTAAAAAACAGAGAATAAAACATCATATCTAATGTACATAAATTGTCAACTACCTCTGATCTCCAGTTTTCCTTTACAGTCAATATGAAAATAGAAATATTTTACTAGAGTGTTATTGAGATTTAAATTTTAGAAGCAATTTGTCAACTTCATTAATTGTAACTGAAATTGTCAACTACCTCTGATCTCCAGTTTTCCTTTACAGTCAATAAGAAAACAGAAATATTTTAATAGAGTGTTACTGAGATTTAAATTTTAGAAGCAATTTGTCAACTTCATTAATTGTAACTGAAATTGTATTCTTACCTTAAAAAGTACAGCAGAAAAATAGCAGTATTTAGTTCTTAATCTCATCTTTGATGTTGTTATGTACCTAAAGTACAACAAATAATAAGAAATATGAATGTGTCCATCCAATATAAATTATTCAAACTCTTTTTTTTAATCTAGTATAATAATGATACACAATCTAGATGTTTTCCATATTGGAAAACAGCTCCCTGTTCTGTAGATAAGTGCTCAGCCATGCCATGCAAAGAAAGAAGCATTTGACCAAAGACATACCTAGACAAAGGGAATTGTCTAGATTCTCTTTAAAGGAAAGAAACAGGCAATCTAAGTGCAAAATTAATCTCATACAAAACTAGAAAGATAAAGCAGGTCAAGCAACTCACACCTTAAAGTGTATTTCTTTCCATAAAGGAAGCCTAAGATAACTAGCACACGTGGACTTTCACGTGGTGGCTGTCTAGCTAGATTAAATGAATCCCACACAGTACCTCATCAAAGCTTTAAACCATCCTGGTAGCAGGGTACTCCTCAGATCTACAAATCTTTAATACAATATTAGAATCCTTTAATCTGCATTTTACAGCCTGAGATTAAGTTGCTCTAGAAAGAGCAACTCAAGGGAAAGATGTTTAAGAGCTCAAGTCCAGTCTGAATAGAAAATAGCTGCCTGAGGGAGAAGCCAAGAGGATAGCTCCCTCCAGACCCCTGCCAAGATTTGGAATGGACATATTAGCTGTAAAGGGATAGTATACAGTGCAGCAGGTATGTGCCACAAGCACCTGTGAAAGCAGCTAGGGATTGGGTCTTGCCTAATTGGACCTGAGACTGCACCACAGACCAGAATTAGAAGAAGTGTGGTTTAGAATCAACTTAAACTCACTCCTTTTCCTCTTGGGTGCTAATTCTGAGTGTGGCAATGCCATTTCATCTTGAAATACCCATGCTAATACTTTAAAAGCTACCTTAGTTTACAGATATTTTACAGTGCTATTAATATGACCTGTTTCTCAGGTAAGATAGTTTACTCAGATGAAGCTCTGCCCTTTCATGGGTATAATGCTTCTAAGGTTATTTAGAACTGGCTTAGGTATTTCTAAATTGTGTATTTTGTACATTTTTAAATTGTACAATACATTGAGGAATAGCTCAGAATTACATCCATAGTGTTTTACCAGCAGTCACGGAGTACCAGACAGAAATATTTATTGATGGTAGACTTTAACACAGTAATGCAAATTTCATTTAGTTGTAATTCATCAGAAAATGAGCACTTTAGGCAGTAAATTTGCCCTCAAGATACATTAATATTTAATATGTGCAATGACTTGGGAGATGTGATATTTCAATTGAAAATCAATATGACTGTAAAATCCTTGTGCTTATGACTTTTTATCATTTTGTTTTATTTCAATGATCTCTCCGTATGATATACAGCTGCAATTATGATCAAAGATGAGCACCCAAGAAAAGGGAACAAACAATATTCTCCAAAAGAGCAACTTTCTTCCTGAAAGGAAAAATTCCTCTGCTTTTGATGACTCTTTCTTATAGCAACTCATCAGTGTTTTTAAATTAATTTCAAGTTGCCTACCGTCCTGGATGAGCCATTTCTTTAAAATATGAAAGAAATACAATAAAATAAAAAATACTTACTGAGCTATCTTAGCCACTAAGACTGCTGCATGTAAACATCCCCAAACTCCAGCCTGAGAAAGAAATTTCTGACTAGTATCAGTTGATCTTCCAACTGCAGAGCAGTCTGTAGCATTTTTTGGAAAACCTAACTCTTGCCAGTTGCTAAGAGCATCAGCAATGTTGAGTGTTTCATCAAGGGCTTGACACCAATATTTGAAAGCAGCTCTGTAACACATAAAAAACGTTCTCATCATATTGCTGACATTTTCCAAAGTGGAAGATAAGACTCGCTTCATTTTACCTTTATTGCCTGAGATATAACTAATTCTGATTAGGTCAAAAACTGAAATACAGTTTCTGCAACACAAAAAGATACCATTCCTGATCAACAGACTTATTGGGACTTACACTAAAATTAAATTGTCAAGCAATAGATATTACTTCTTAAAAACACATATAGATGCTTAATTAATTTGCTTAATTACAGTTAGCTAGCTAAGGAAAATAAACAATTTATATTAAAAAAGACTCTCAAAATATAGGTAATAGTGTGTTAGACAAAATAAGTTATACGGATTTGAGCACAAGAACTTACAAGACAGTTCAAGGGTATATGAATGCCAATTAAAAAAATGAAATAATGCTCTTTTTTAATCCAGTAACTGTGTACCTTTTGTTTCCAGCATAAAAGTGAAGATTTCCCAGTTCATGTAGAGCCTGAACCTTGAGATCTCTCTGGTTATTTATTTCAAGGATTCCTGTTATTTATTTTTTAATCAATTAGAAAAAAATATTGTTACATCGTTAAATCATTTACTCAATCTTGAACAAATTTTGCGTGAGAAGTAGACATGAGTTCATGTATTCATGTAATTCAATGCATGAATATTTTTTGAAGGATTTATTAGGCTTGTATATTTTACCTTCAATTGTACAATTTCTTATTTCTACTAACTTTAAAAACAAGAGTAGGATGTATTTATGGACCTGTTTACCTAAGATTTTGTATTCTTGCTTTTTCAGACCTCTCAAATTTCTTCCTCTTCAAGGATAAAATGGGAAGCAGGCCATTGGCCCTGCTAAACAACACTGCCTGAATATAGCACAGTAGCACTGTCCCTGGCTCATTTCTGGATCCATTACTTCAAATAAAACCACTTACGGCATCTGTTGACCTGCTACACTTCACCTGTCTTGTCATAAAGCAAAACCAGGTAGTAGTGCTGAGCTGTAACTGTATGAGTAAAGCCATACTAGAATGTAAGATGGAAGCCAAGCAACTAGGTCTCTCATTTAAATGCACAGAATCCGAAAGGTCTATTTGCTAGGAAAAAAACTATCATGGCATTAAAATGAATCCGCTAAACATTACAGCAGATTTTTAATTTGGGATTAATCAGTATAATACCACTGAAGTAATACTTTTTCGTAAGATGAGACAACTGTAGAGGTTATGAACCAATTAGTGGCTTGTTTAGGTCCTAATGCAGATTTTCTGGATCAACAGAAAGAACATTGTGTATTTCTGGAAACCAGCTTTCAGACAGTTATAGCTGTCTGACAGAGGAAAATAACAATGGAATAAACATATGAACACAGATAGCCAGAATGATATTACATCTTAGCTGTAAACATAAATTTATGAAAAAAAATTACCAATTGTTTGTTCATAGGAAGAGATAATTACTGAAAGCTGTGACTGTGGTATTGGTTTACTCTCAACTCTACTGGAGAAATTAAATTGTTCTTGAGAAAGGTCACGTGGTGTTGGTAGAAATATCAGTTCAGCTCCCACATTAAATTCCAGCCTTCTGGTTGAAGAGATATGACTGCTGATTGTTCTTCCAACATTTTCTAGACCAGAAAAGTGATTTATATGATCAGTTTGAAAAGTAGTATACTATTTCCAGCACTGCAAATATTTTCACACCACATTACCTGAACAAATATACAGTTCCTGTGTACCCTTTTTTTATCTGGTTTCCTATGCTATGATTCTGTCTGTGTGTCTCCTCATTAAACTCACTGGACATAACTCATTGGTCAGTACAACCAAATGAAAATATGTACTGTGTTAGACAAAATAAACTTGGGAAGATCTGCCAGCCAGTCCTCTGACAGAGGTTTGACTGCAGACAGACAAGTGACACAGTTGCATGAAAAAAAATTTATCAACCAACCATGAGACACAAATCAGGAAATCAGGCTTAGAGATTGTGCTTACAGAACTTCATATATAACTTCATATTCTATGTTTTTTTCTAATTCACAATAACAATTAAAACTTGAATTTTAAAAAATCTGTTCCTTTCACTCTCTACTATTTTAACTGCATATACACTTTACTAAGTGAGAAACTCTTCAATAAATAACCCACCTTGTGTGTGTGCAAGAAATAATGAAAGTAGTTTTCTGCTGTGTCTCAGGGCTCTGCTGTGATATTTAGATTTTTGTAGAGTTTCTCTAAAACATTTCAGTGTATCATTCACATCAAGAGGTACATGAACTAGGGCTTTCACTTGACTGCGATCTAAAAGGAATTAATAATTATGGAGAACAATTTTTCATTACATAAATATATATTTTTAGTAAATCACCCTGCAAAACAATTTCACAGCTTCAAAACTAAAATATATTAATGTAATTGCCAGCTTTGTTTCCTGTTACATTATGAATTAAAGCAAAATTATTACCCACCAGGAACACTTCTGAGCATTTATATCTTTTTCAATGTTACATTTTAGTTGTCACATGACATCTATATTCCCTGAATTCCATCAGCTCTCTGCTCTGAATTCTAGTGTCTGAAGTCTGGAAACAAATCTTTTACTAGGACCACTGATCCTATTTCCTACAACTATCATAGTTTCTATGTACCAAACCTGTGAGTTCGTATGCTCTCTGCACTGAATGCATAATATTATCTACTCTTCTTACATACAGCATTATTTATTGTTCAATGACTTTCTTCAGCTGAATTCAACACAAAGCCTTGTGTGCAATGCGTTGACACATCTGGGATATGAGGAACTATGCTTTACAAACTTCCATTAATGACTATAATATTTTAATCCTCACTGAAAAGAATAACAACTGTGGGTAAAAGACATGTTTTGTCACCTTATGGTTCACTTTAGTATTGCTATTGATTCTATCTATAACAGTGCAGGTTCACATTAACTTCTGGGTATATGGCTGGATATCCAACAATACCGATGTAAAACTGGAGCAAGACCACAAAGAAAGATAACTCAACATACTACAAGTCATCTGGCATATGGGTAACAACAGACACAGTCTGAATATATTTGGAAAGATCTTGATAATATTACTATCCATCCAAAATACCAAGAATAATAATTGGAAGACAAAACTGAGTTTATATTAAAAGAAACAGATTTCAGGGGCAGTGGAAGACCTGTGATAAGGAGGAAAACAAAAAAAAAATCCAGTATGAAAAAAAGGAAGGGGTTTGGGAGAAAAGAGAACTCATGATATTGAAATGTGCTCTGACCTGTATAATCATTTTTCATCTCAGGATAGCAAAAGCATCCAGGAAAAATCCGTTCACTAGCAGAATGGGCAACAGGCAGCTGTAATTTCTGCCCTATGTAGTTTCTGCAACTCATCTAAAAAGCAAGTTTTGTTTCATGATAATTGAATAATATTCAGAAAAATCAATGTTTGATGCTTAAAGTTAAGTATCTAAATACTCAGTCATATAACAAAATGAGAGAGGACTAATTTACAGAGACACCATAACTAGTACCCTTGTCAGTAAGAGGTGAAACATTCACAACACCTAAATATTGGATATAATTTACAATTGTTTAGATGTTAATGAATTAAACTTGTATCTTATTTGGTATTTGCCATAATCATGAGCAACTCGTTGATGTTCAACAAATATTCCACCTTTCTCTGTCTGGATAAATGCATGCTTGCAAAGAACCTGCCAGTGTAAGTATGCCTAAAGAGCACATTGCCTGTAAAGCACAATGTAATGCTGCATAGGGATACACAAAATAGCTCTAAGCAAGTAAGAGAAGCAGTCTAACCCTGTCAGAGAAGCAAACTTCCAGACTTCTACACGGGCTAATCAGGCACAGCCATTTTATTTTGCTAATGTAGCTACCTCACTTCAGAAGAAAAAGAACCAATTCAGAGGTAGTTCTAGACTTTCTGAATGGCATTGCATTGCGAAATGTAGCCATACCCTCCAAATTTCTAATTTGATGATGTCTTTTTTGAACAATCTTTGTTACTATTAACTGACATTGGTCTTCATTCTGTAAATTGTCTTTCAAAACTATGACTACTTTTCCACATTGCTCAGATTACAGTGGTATGTGGTGGTTTGCCATACTGCCCTTTTTTTCAACAAAGGACTATGTTCTGAATGGCAGGGCCTGAAAGAAGACAGCAGGAAACAGCCTTACAGAAAGACAGGGCAGAGGACCTCAGTTGCCCTTCGCAAGCCAGGAGTGCCTTCTGAGTTCCTGCAAGCCCTGGGCAACTGTGTGCTGTCTCTAGGCAAGGCAGTGGCTCCTGAACTCCATGTTCATGTTCATAACAAGCCCATTTGGAATTCCAAACCCCATTTTCCCCCCTCTCCTTCAAATTCTGTGTTCAAATTAGTAATAGAAACATATTAAAAATATCAAACATGTGACTGACATTAGCAAAACTTCTTAGAAATAACCATTAGGTTAAAAAAAGGAAAATCCTAATTTTTAATAGCTAATTACATGAAAAGTTTCCAAGTGGCAATGTCAGTTTACTAATTATATAGAACCATGGCTTTTAATGAGAGGAACTTGCTGAGCAGCTTAGGGGTTTTTTGTTGGTGATCAATTTTTTAACGTTTTTTATTGGTATTGTCAGTGTTTGAGTTAATTTGATTAATTTTGATCTTTAAGAGCAGTGTTGCAATGCAGAAACAAAGTAGTCTCTTTGTATTTAACTTTAATTGATCACAAAGATTGCACAATATCCAAACAAATGTTTTCAGGTTAAAAGAGCGGCATCAAAAACTAATACAAAATTAGATTTAGGCTCATAATATGGAACGGGTACATTATGCATGGAACAAACATTCTCTGGATCATCAAGTCCAGACCTCTGTTGCTGCTAGAATCATGTCACACAAGACTTTTTTCATGCACTTCAATCAATTATGTTCATTAATTTATTATAATTTACTATTTGTGAATATTATGAAAAAACATATTAATCTAATCTCTATACTCAGTTCACATGAAGACTCAGTGCCCAAAAAAGAAATCTGTGGTTCACCTTATGTGCATTATCACACAGATATTTTATGAAACGAGGTTCATGGCTGTCTGGGCCACTGAATTGCTGTATCCTTTCCAGAAGCTGCCTCTGAGCATACACCAGCAGCGGACTCACTTGTTCTGTGTATCTCTCACTGAAAAAACCCAAAGTATAGCAATTAAGCAAAATAACAGCATATTTAACTATATAACATTGAGTTTTAATTTTTATTAGAGTTGGTGTAACTTACTGTGTAAATATGTTAAATTGTACAGCTATATGTACCAGTGCTTCCCACTTCTTCATTTGATATAACAATTCTATTGCTTTAAGAATCAGGTTACATATCCATTTCAAGTCAACCACATTCACATCATCCAGGGGAGACTGTGGATGGAGATTAGAACCACCATTCTCATACATAACACCTCCTAAACAACTGGGAATGCAGAAGTCTCCTTCAGGATCCACAATCTACAGTGAAGAAACATTATTTACCTGTTATTTTCAAACTTCTTTTTAGGAAAAATCGAATTATTAAGATTAGAAAATACTGTAATCCTCTAAAAACTTGTTACACAGAATACGTTGGAGATATCAGAATATAATGCAAAAGAAATAAAACTATCTCTACTGAAGATGTGATAATAAAGAGTATATTGTCTTAATAAAAATAATTTTTACCTTAAGAGACCCACTTGCTTGTAGCTCAGTTATCATATCAATGATCATGTCTGATGCCAAATAAAATGGCAACCAGATGGTGTTCCTAAGAAAACCCCTGGAAATGGGAAATGCCTCTTTATGGGAATGCGAATGGTTAGCAATCAATTGCAATTCTTGAGTATAGTTCCAAAGTTCTCGACAAGCATTTTGAAGCAATGTCCAGTGGCCACCACGGTGAGCAAGAACCTATGCATATCATTGAAAATATAATTATACTTTGGAAATACAGAAATTAAAAGCTTCATTCTTTTAATGAAAAGCTTACGTATAATTAATCTTTCAAAATTACACTCTATGGATCATCTTTAATAACAGATCATTAGATCATTCAATATTTCAATTTATACAAAGCATTATAGAACCTTAATTTGGAAATTCTCATAGAAGCACTAGTTTATAAATGAATTTAATTATTGCTTTTGGTGTGAGAATAAGGAATAAAAATTAATTCATACCACCTATACATGTGCTTCTACTTGGTTTTAGAAGGGTTTATGGGAAGAGTAGTCAGTCTGCATTTCCTTTCAATCGCTGGTCCTTCTGTTTATACTACTGAGACATTCACTAAGACCCGTAAAAGGAAAGTTATGTCTGCAGGTATTTTCAGAATGACTTAACAAACAGGAGAAGGAAAGTTACAAAGACGAAATGAAAAATAAAACATTTATATAAATCATTGCATGTTTCATAGAAATATACATTATGATGGGTGATATGTCTGACATTTCATACACTATACTTGGATATTTTGCAGAAGATGAGAAATTATTGCTTTTTCCCACTGAACTTTTTTTGAAGTTTCTTAAGTGTGGATTTTATTAATGTAGAAAGTACTAAGTATTGTAATGCAATGCTTAGTAATAAATAAAATGTTTAATAAGAAAGCATATCTTACCACTGCCCTTCTTAAATGCAAAAAAATTTTTGTAAAATGGTCCAATAAAATGTTATTTGACATAAACTGGTTGTATACTTTGGGGGAATGAGAGATGGGTATTTCTGTATCATTTGTTGTTTGAGTTGGAGAAGTATCTGTTCCACTCAGTGTAATGCTGTGCTCAGAAGATATATCTGTACCTGAAGACAAAAAGTTCACTGCTTAAAAATGAGTTAAGGTTCTCAAAAAAATAAAGAAGAAAATATTAGCAGCCAGCTATGATTTTCCTATGGCAGCTAAATACTTAAATGTTAGGAAATGCCAACATTAAGGTTATCATATTTATACGGTTATGATATTTAAAATATAAGATGCTTTTACTTATGCGTTGGGAGAAGCAGGAATAAAAAAAACGTTGAGCAAAATAATAATGTGTACCAAATAGTTTTCAGCCTCAAAGCCAAAACACAACCCTCACAGAAGTTAAGTTTTAGGAAGAAATCGCCATGTGGCAAGCTCCCAAGAACTCTTCTGAAACCAAGGCCTCTTAAAAGGTGAAATTAGGAAGAAGGGAAGATTTCTGACAAATTCTGTGTTATGTGTAGAAGTTCTCCATTATTTTATTCAATATCAAATATCCTCCAAGGGGAAACACAAAGGTTCATGGTAGTGGGATACAGTAATATCTGAGCTATAGGTTTTCCGCAGAAGCTAATTTCAAGGTCAACAGTATTTGAACTCTAAGGCAAACTACACACTTCATGAAATTCTTTCATTCAGAATTGCTGCAAAGGCTAGGAGGTAGTAAACAGGTTTTTCATTAGTTTTCAGCAGCTTTCAGTGACTCGGTTCTCAGTGACCTGTAAGCATCAAGACAAAAGAGTATAACTATAAGCTGTTACAAAGAGAACCAGTGAATTCAACTGCTAGTTTCTGTCACACCTCCTTGGAAAAGGCAAAGAGGATAGTTGATGCCTACCTAAGGAAGTCCTACATGGAATGATAGGAGAATTTTGCTCTCTAAGCCTGTGTAAAAAATGTGTTCCCTGAAGTGCTATTGAAAAGACTAGGCTTGTGATTTCTTCTTGAACTTATGGTGGCTAGGCAGACTACTTTGCATTAACTTGTATGTTATTATCAATGTCTGAGGTAATTCAAGTCCTATATTTCACAATTACCTACAAACCTATTCAAACTTCAAAGGATGTTACTGAAAATAGCTGGGATAATAGAACAGTTAAATGTGAAAAACAGAGACTTGAAGTAAAAGTGCTAGAAGAAAAAATTATCCTGAGGTAGCCTCTGCCACAGGAAAACACTGGGGAGCAAGCAGTAGAGAAGGAAACCTAAATTGTTCTACTTCAAATTTGAAAGATAATAATAAACTTCAGTCCATAATTTTAAGGAAGCCTTACTGAATTACCCAGGAAATTATTAACCTGTCAGGAAATCTAAAGGAAACTACAGACCAATTAACAACCACAGAAACTGATAAAAATTATCATTGCATTTAGAATAACCTGGAATATTATCAATTTAATAGGTCTAGGTAGCGTGGCTTCTGCAAACCAAAAGCTAGTTATTAGATTATTATAGATTATAAATTCTAAATTATTAGAATTTATAAACTTGCTACTAAAGCATAGGATAAAGAATAACCACTTGATAAAAAGTAACATATTTATCAGTACAATAAACAATGTTCAGAGCTCTTATAAATGCCCCATTATTGACTATGACTTCTTTTATGCTAGGTATGACAAAAAAAGAAAATACAGAGGACACTTTTGAAATCTAGGAACATCTTCTCTTTAAATTGGCATGAGTGTTTTTCTAAAGGTGATGTGGAAAACTAATGATGGAGGCCAAGATAGAAACTAAGAGAAAGAAAAACTTAAGTTGAAACTGATTCCAGTTGTGCACCCATTAAAGTTCTTACAAGTTTGGGTTTCGGTCATTCCTGACTTTTTAAGGAGATGAGGAGTTGGTGTTCTCATGTTATTCTCTATGGCTTCTCTCACCACTACAGAGCCAGAATTATTTAATGAGAATATTTCAGGATCCAAAATACTGTAACTGCAGAATGGGAGAAAAAGAAGAAAGCACAAAAAAACACCAGATATAATATTAAAAAGAATTTTTATATACACAAAAAATTCAGTTTCTCAAAAGTGAATTTTGATTACTTTGCAGCAGCTTTAGGAATGAGAAATAATGAATGATAGCTAAAAGTTGTAAGAAAACAAAAAATAGCACAGTACAGTGTATTTCAAAACTTTCATCTGACCAGTCAAGTGAGCAACCAAAAATGTGCATGTCACCTGCCATATGATGGAAAGCAAAACTTGTTACATAGTAAATTAATTTGCATTTGGAAGATGAACTGTTCATGTGACAAACTGACTGACAATATTGTATTTTAGATCTGTTTGCATTGATGGCAATAACACAGTAATCTGTATTAATAGCAATCAGTGATAAAGTAGTAAGATATACCTGTCCAGATGCTGTGAACCATAAATTCCAATGTTATATTGCTCTTCCAGTTTCTTTTTAAGTAAGTTGTAGTGTGCAACTGCCAGATAGATATTCATCTGAGACCTCCAGGGCATCTCTTCAAGACACATTTGATGAAACTTCTTTTGGTTTAAGTAATTGCTCACTACCGGTTTCAGCAGTACCACTAAGGTGTGACGAGCTACTTTTTGCAACTCTTCCTTGCATTCCCTAAACCCAAATATATGAAGTAGCAAAAAGTAAAACTGTGTTTTCTTGAAGATCTTGGAAAGAAAATCATGGTAAAGATAGACAGAATTGCGTATCCCCAGACTCGTATGAACTCAGAAGCATACAACATATTTCTAGCAAAATGATTTTTGCTGCAGTCAGAAAAACCAATTGTGCTTTCACGCTCAAAGTACACTTATGCACACTAAATCCTATCTCATATTTTATCAACTTCTGTAAGATACTTGTCTTAGTACTTACAAAAAGTTTAGTGCTCTGTTTGAAGTTATTTGCACCTGAGTCATCCAAGCAGATTATTACAGCAAATACAATGTGTTTCACAGTCTGTTCAGGAGATGGAGGGTCTACTATTACACTATAAATTTGGATCATTCTTTTTATTCCTGTGTTTAGATAGCTAATCATCCTCAATGTGAAGAAAACGTTTTATTCCAAATCTGGATGTCTGGCTTTAATTTTAAGCCATAGATTTATTTATTTTTTTTTACATTTCTCTGCCAGATCAAACAATTCTGTATTACCTGGGACACATACAATGCTGTAGTCAAATCAAATCTCATTTTTTTCTTTTTTAAAAATTGTAAACTGATGCCTTTACCAATCTAAATTCTTTTTCTGTCTGTTTTTCACCTTTAAAATATGGGCTTAACAGTGTACCATATACTATGTTGATTATATTATACAGCAATATTATTACGTACGATACGAAAAAGTAGCTGAAAAAGCAAAAAGCCCAGGATAAGTTAAACATCCCTTCTTCCACTGAAAGCCATGAAAATCATGTTAAGATGGGTTTTTTCTGTCAAGGAGCAAAAATGGACAGTTTAGGTAAATATTTGGAAGATAGTGTATGGAAGACTTTTTTGAGGTTCTTTATTTAAAGCACTTTCAGAATCAGTTATGTGACTGCTTATATTCAGATATTTCTGTTTTTCTACTTGCTGATTGACAGAAGCATAAATGACCAAAGCACCAGGTAACGAATACTACAAATTCTTTTAGATCAGAAGATAGCATTATTGGCGAGTTAATCGAATATACACAATTATCTGCCAAAAGAAGAGATGAATGAATTTTCATTTGTCTCTATCAAGAAACAGTTTTCTGGAAGCTATAGGACAGATAACCCAAGGAGACTAGCAAAAGGATGACAAAAATCACTCTGAAACTACCTGAATATCAGGAACAAATAAACATTCTTTATTAGATTTCTAACAGGTAAGCTCCCCAATACAGTTTGCAAAGCATTATAGTATGCAGATTAATATAGCTTTTCCACCATGATGAATCAACATGCTCAAGCTAACACAACTGAAATACAGTCTTTGATTATTAATACAAAGACTTCAAAATCTTCAATGGTTATTCTCTGAAATAGAAATGAGAGAGATTTTGTTCTCTTGAGTGGAAGCTAATTTCATACCAACTAAAACAGAAAAGTGAGTGGACTATGCACAAATTCATCTCTTTGATGGAAAAAAGTTTTACAATACCCACTTAATTGTACACTAAATTTCAGTCAAAATATTTTGGTTCTATATATGAACCAGACAACTTATGTTTATTTACCTTTGTGCTTCTGGAGATTTCATTATGTTTGGGTGTTTCATGAAATACTGTCTAAGAGTCTGTCTTTTTCGAATAGGACTCATGGCTTCTTTTCTTGGTTTCTTCAAAGTTGATGCCTTTGGTTTCTTTAAAGGTGAGGTCTCCTTACCCTTTAAAAAATATTCCATGAAAAACTTGAATATACTTCAAATACTTATTTATACCTACATTATCAATTACTTGACATATGCAGCAGTTTGGCTTATGCAGGAATAGAACAGAAAATACATTCTGGAAGTGTTTGTCAAAATGAGACAGTAAAAAAATATTTAATATTCCAGAAAGCTTTATGACTTTTCTGGAAGGTATATGTCAAATGCCTGACACTAAGAAAGCAGCCAGGTTCCCAAATATTTTCTTTCATATACCAGTGTTTCGCATCTCAAAAATAATGATAGTTCTTTTCCTATTATTATAAATAGTAAAACTCTGCAAAACAAAAACTGAGACAGAAAACCCTTTCCCTAATCTATCTCAGATGCTAGCATTATTACAGCATTACTAGAGGGTTATGAGGGAGAAAATTCTTCCTCCAAAACAATGGAATTCCATTAAGATTATTCTTAACTTCCAATAAAAGCAAAAATTTATTTTAAAAGAATTCTGAACAAAAAGCCTTTATCGTGCCATTAGAGTATCTGTACAAGGAGTTAATCATGAGCAACTACTCATGAAAAAAAGTAAGTACAACATATTGTACACAAAGGCCTAAACTGATCTCATTTTCTTAATGTGATGGTACCCAAGGCATTTCCTATTAACATATTGTTTTTTTAAACAGAGATAATGAAAGGCAAGTTTTCATTGATTTTGGAATGCATCTCAAATTCCTCACAATTATTGGTCTTTCAGATAAATCCCATGCCAACTTTTCTTCTTGGTTTTAGGAGTGCAGAGGTGAGCTGAGGACAGGAGTTCATATCCCAAGTTTTAGTAATTATGCATGTCACTAGCTGAGGATTTTATGAGACAGCTTTTAAAAATTTATTTTTGTGCTTATGGTATTGCTGCCCAGTAAAGACATAAATGACTCCTTAAAAATAAAACTCACTTTCTGAAACTCCACAACTCCTGCAGTGTATCTATCCGTGCGTTCTGGCAGAGTGGGAGAACTTGTTTCTTGTGTTGAAATTCCATTGATACAGAGAAGGTGGTCGTTCCTCCTGACAAAAAAATAATGTTAAAATCATCATCATCATCATCATTATCATGTTAAATGCCTTTCATAGTTAAAGGGTTATCTGGTTATCTTTGGCAACAGGTACAGCACATGCAATTCCTGTTTCACTGGAAGTTTTAAATTCAGCAGGTTTTCTTTCCTTCTTCCCCTTCAGAAAAAAGGAAGTGCTCACTTTCAAGGTTTATTATGGAAATCTGAATTTCTAGATAACAACTCTCACCTTCTTAGCTTCTAGTAAAACTAAAAGGTTTGTTTCATTACCCAAATTCTACTATTGAATTCTGCAAAGAACGTCTTCATGTCCAATGTTTTTGGTCTTTTGTAACAGCAGTTCCTGTTCCCTGTAACATATCTCCTTTTCATTGATTATTTGCCTTTCAAATTTTAGAAACACTGCTGTGCATTTTTAAGAAAGTTATAGTTAAAATTCTTTGGGATCCTTTTAGGTAAGTGTCTACAATTTGGTTCCATTTATCTTAACAGTACAGCATTTTTTTAGACACTACAGTAGGCCCTGGTCAGTTTGCTTTTGATTTAGCCCAACATACTTTGCTACGTTATCCCACTGCCTCATAATAATATGGCAAATGACCATATTACCAAGTGCTGTCTGTGAAAAGAAAAATCCTGGAAACTGCTGATGGTAGGCAGGAGTTTTGAACAGACACAGACAAGGGAGAAGTCTCCATGTATAACAAGGCCACAATACAGTATTTTCTGTAGCTATATAATCCTCTGTGTTCATGGAACTTCTGCAGAGTAGGAGCCATGGAAACGGCTCCAAATGGGTCTTCTACAATTTACAGTTTCCGCTGTACCTGTGACACTGGTGAACCTAAGCAGTAGTTTTTCACCACTACTATAATAGAGGTCTACCTTTTCAAGTAAACTTGCACATTGCTTGCCCATTCCAGAGCGCACTGGAACTTCTCTTCATTCAGGATTTTGTGCAAAACTTGAACAAAGAACTCAAGAAAACGTGATTTCTTTCTGAATTTCATCACTGCAATAAAGTAACAAATAATTAACACAGTTTTTGTATTTATGCTCTAACAGGTTTCTGAATTCAGCTAGAATTACAGCTATGTATGTCTCAAAGCATGTATTTATGTCATGTTGCATGCTGATGAAGAAAAGGCATACTGAGACTAAAATCAGATAGGTCATGGTACACAATAGCAGTTACTGAATACTTCTTGTGAGCAGGCATCCAGAATCACAAGTTCACTCTATTTACACTCCTAGAATGTCAAACATTCTAGGGACTGAGAAAACAGGTTCGGAACTATTTTTCTATCATGCAGTACATAGCACAAAAATATTTTGTAAGAATATTCAACATGCCTAATTGTACACATGCCTGAAAATCCTGGAAAAAAAAACACTAAAGCAAGTATAAACAAAGTATCTGCATCCTATTCATTTAGGATGCTATTCTTAGTGACAGTCACATTAGTGTACAAGTATCACACAGTTCTCATTGCAGCAGTGGAGCTGTGTTGTCTAGATTTTAGGCAGCTTTTTAATTGTTTGCAAACCACTTTTACTGTTCGGCCATCTTCATAATTTTTTACCATCAAAAAATAAAGAAGCATTTATCTTACCTGAAAGCTATACTAGTTTTACAGGCTAGGCTCCATTTGTTATTTTGAACACCAGAATTATAAAAATAAGGCAGTGGCAAAGGCCACATACCAGAATCTTAAATGCTATTTCAAAAACGCAAGTGTACTCAGATTTTTGTGAACTCCTCTTTCAGTAACATAATTTAATGTGGAAATGGGATATCTCAATTTAAAAAAAACTTTACTCACAAACAGGATCTTTGAAAACTTGACACAACTTTAAAAAAAGGAGTTCATTTTTGATGTTATTAGAAAATAAATATTATTCAATTTAAAATATTAATATTTCATATACTCAACATCTAAAATATTTTTTGCAAGTATTTCATACACTTCTAAATGTGAATCTATTAAGAATTCTTTTTAAGCTGTTTTACTTGATTTTGTATATTTGAGAACAAAATGAAGAGAAAGTTTCTGAAACCTTGTTCCAAGCAAGAAGTAGCCAGCTTTACTGGCAACTTTCTGAAGTAAAGAAGCCTTTATAATTAAAATAAACACCAATTATCCTACCTTCTCGATAAGCACTGTTTGATGTCCAACATGAAATTACAGGGTAGAGGAACAAAGGATCTTCCTGTCCTGTAAGCTCTGATCCATGCGCTACATCAATAACCAAATCAAATCCATTATGACAAGCAGTGATAGTGTACAACAGAAACTCTACCTGGAATCGTAACTGAAGCCTAGAAAAATCCTTCTTTAGCACAGAGTTTGCTTTTACATCTCTCACTGTCATCCAGAGAGAAATTCAAAAGCTTGCTCTTTTCTTCTAGCGTAAGTAGCTATGCCACTTAAATAACAACGAGTTTACGGATGTGACTGATGAATTTCCAGCACCTAAACTAATGAGGATGTCTGGTGTTCATCAGAGATCTAACAAAGGTCCATACAAATCATCTGTGGAGGATGGTGTGCAGTAAGGATATGTTCAAAAATGTATTTAAAGCTATGCAACAGGAACTGAACACATGATGCTATTAGCGACTAGTGCTTACATATATGCTTGGCATATGGATAGCATAAGTAGGTAAAGGATTATTTTTTTTCACTTAAATATCTATATAAATATATATATAAATTTATTTATATTCTACAAATTTTATATTATAGTTGTAAATAATATATACAATATATAGATATAAATAGTATATATAATATATAGGAGAACAGTAACTTGGATTCAAGCTTCTGAGAGTTAAATACAACTACATTACCAGCTGATGAGCACCAGAACAATGTCACATATATTAGTTGCTATTTTGCCTTAATGAAGAAACATGACCTACAAATTTTGTGCTTAGGCAAGTTCTGTGGTTGAAAAAGATCAATGCAGCTTGTCCCTGAAAAAAACCAAGGTTAAAAGTGCACTCTGGAACAACCAGTTGTGATAGTGGATCAATAGCTACACCCTCCAGCGGTAGCAGTCAGTCGAAGTCTGTTGAATGCAAATAATGTCCAATTAAATCAACAGGCAGCAGGACAAGAAGATTTTTTTAAATTTTCTTTTTAGGACAAGTCACATCCTTTATTAGTACTCCCTCCTATTTGACAAATTAAAAAATATTTTGGTTCAAATGAGCATTTTCACAAAGAATAATACTTCCCAAAAATTTTAAGGGGGAAAACATTTGAAATTTCAGAATTTAAATTGTACTGTGTAAGAATTTTTTTTTATCAGTTTAATCAGTTTTTAATCAGTTTCTGATTAAGGAGGCAGATGCAGCTCTTTTTCATTTTTCTCATAGACTATCATCAATGGAATGCTTAGTGTTGATCCACGCTTTTAAGGATTTCCTATGACAAAGTTTTTTCCAATATATTTTTAACAGCATGCCCTACAGGTGTGCACATTGTCCTAAACATTTGTAAGGACAGCTGTAAACTTTGTTATTTATTTTGTGTGGCCTCAGCAAAAGACTCCTATTCAATTTGTATCCTGAAACTTCTTGACAAATGTGCTATTTCAGCAACAGAGCAGACTTCAGCCATCAAGTATTTGCCAATTACTGAAAATGTGTTCTTCTCTAACTGATCAACCTGTTAATTTAACTTTCTGTTAAGTAAGAATGGAACATTATTCTATTAATTAATCAATGTAGTTTTCAGTTAACTTAGAGAATTCATTCATTCTGTAACTTTTCTGCAGTAATGCAGTCATCAATGTCAGCAGCAAAAAATGAAGGATCAGCGCACAGATGAATGGAATTTTTGCATCTTTCTTTTTATCCCATTTATTGCAGAAATGTTTTCTCTTTTAAGACAAATGCATATACAGAGATGATGAACAATAAATAGACCATGAGTCAGCAGCACACCCTTGCAAGCAAAGATCAGTTGCATACTGGGCTGTATTAGAAACAGCATAGCCAGCAGGTCAAGGGAAGTGATTATTTGCCTCTATTCGGCACTTCTGAGACCACATCTAGATTACTAGAATGTTACATTCATGTAACAATAGTTACAGAACTATTAGCCTGGAAATTCTTGTGCTTAATCCAGACTCTAAGATATTTTAAAGCTGATACATTAATTCCTGAGTTACAAGGTAGTTAAATGCTAGGAAACGTGCAATTTCTTCATAAAAAGGACAATTTCTGTTAACTTCCTTCAGCAAGTCTTTTCTCCACTAAAATTACCTGCAGTGGTCAATACTACTAGGATTGGTAGGATAGTAAGACATGCTATAAGTGGATGATGGTCTTTGCCACTGCATTTTCTGATTTAGGAAGATAAAGCAAGCCTAAACAACATGGAACCAAAATTAAACAGATTAGGAGGACATATACATTTGCAGAATAGAACAAACATGACTATTCCTTTCTAAGAAGGAATGACTGTTTTGGTGGAAATTATGAGAAACATGAATAAAAGTCATTATACACATCACTACCAGGTATAAATAAGATCAATGAAATGATGATTTTGGTTGATTTATCATGGAAGATATATGAAATAAAAGCACTTCTTCGGTAAATAATTTTTACAAATAAACCATAGAAAATTCCATAGAAAAAGGTAAGAAGTGTTTTAATAGTACACCCACCTGGTTTTGTCAGTCTGAGGAGATTTGATTCAAGAGCACTTAGATTTTCTGTTGCTTTTTCTATTGCAGCTAAATGGGACGTCTTTGCAGAAGTGGCCTGAAATATCCAAAACTTAGTTATGAAAACTTAGTTTTTACCTAACTAAAACCAGCAGGTCAATAGTGGAGTCTAGGTTAGATTCCAAGTCTTCTAATTCTATATCTGATATTTTCATCAATATTGTCTTACTTTTCAAGTGAAATAAAATTTATGTTCAGAAACTTGTCCATGGTTCATTCTTGATGGATCTCCAAGGGAGATGCTCTGCCACCAAGTAAATTTTTAGGAAAGTCCCACAAGCTACTACAACAACACACTTTAACAGATAGTTTGACAAAATATGCTGTTTTCCAGAAAAAAATAATCTCTTGTAGACTACTTACTGCCTACAGAAATCAAAGTCTTCCTCTGGAAAGATAGTTCTTTTTTTTCACACTTCAGTGAAAATGTAATTTTCAGTCAGCCCTACTTGGCTGAAAATATTATATTGTTCCTATGATCTTAGATTCCTTTCTCTTTTTTTGGTATGAACCTGGGAACAGCTAACACAAACTCAGCAATAAACAATGGAGAAAATTTTGTCCTGTAGTGTCCTACAACTTTTGTTACAGAAATCCTTCCCTGTAAGCTGATTGACTTTTTGTCCCTCTCTTTAATATACCTCGGTTTCACACTCACACTGCTTCCTTTCTTCCTCTCTCATTATTCCTACTTTCTTACCTCTTTTACAAATCTCCTCTCCAGTAAAATCTCTTCTGAAATTATTAAAAAAAAAAACCAGATAGAAAAGTATGGAGAATCAACACTTTACTCTGATTCTAAGTTGCAGGAAAACCTCACAACCTGCTGCATCTCTTTGTAATTTAAATATTAAGGTCTTTGAGATTGAAAGTTCTTCCTGCATTGAGAAATATTTTTCAGTCTACACAATTCCTATGTTACTCTCTTATTATGACTCCGTTTCAAGCAGCTGCTACACAAAATAAGAGGCTAAGTTTCTATATTATTTAGGATGTTTTCGCTCTTCTTTACTTATACAATGCTTTAATTATTTTTTCTGTCTAACACAGCATTCCTGCAAGCTATATGTGAAGATCAGTTAGGGATATGTATAAATATCTACAGGATCCTCATTGCTCTGAACCGTAATATTGCTAACCCCTCTCCAGTTCAACAAGATGAGACCTTGTACCCACTGCAATCTGCAACTGGTCTTAAGAAAGATGGCTACCATCAAATAGAAGCCTCTCAGCTGTACTTCAGGAACTCTTATTCTACAAGGAAACTCTTACTTCATTCAATCACTTCTAAAACAAAAAGTTAATAAATGTAGTCTTCAAAATAATGAATACAGTATTTAGAGAAAAGAAAAGGTAAAAATCAGAGCAATTACTTTAACTTCGTTAGCGTGTATTTCTTCAGTTTTCATAGATCCTGACAAGCTGGGTGAAGTTGCTGATGAGGAATCCAACAATTTTTTGCCATAGTTAACAATAATTACTGCTAGTTCATATTCTTTCCATGAACGTAGTACCTATTAAAGAATCATGTGTTGTATATTTTGTTTTGCATAACATGTAACGTTTCATTATTGTCTACTTATAATTATCAAAATGCATTAATATTATAAATAGAAATTAAATATTCAATACTTAAGTTTTGTTTCATAAAAAAACAGGACTATAGATCTGTAAAATAACAGGAATTGCAGTTATGTTTTCTATGTGTTCTACTTCTGTTTAACCTATCCCTCAGAGAATAGAAAGATTTAACCAGAAGTATCTAGTGCTGTGATTGACATTCTCCCTGCTCTCAGGCAGTACAGCTATCAAAGAATATAAAGGGTAACTAAATGATCTTCATTTACCTCTCTGGTATCAAGGGCACATTTGAAAATCCCAACTGTATTAGTGAAACGAGTGGTGAAATTTATTTTTAAAATTATGAAATTTATAAATGAACAGAGTAGGGAATGTTTTTAGATGGCTTTATCTTCCTTAGATAGAGCTCTAAAGGCCAGAGTGCTTCTACTATATGCAAGGTAATTTCACTTCAGCATGTTTGTCTTTGGGATACAAAATAAGTGTATAGATTACTTTAGGATAAATACAGTAACTGTAACTCAACAGAAAACCATATATCATGGATTAAACAGCAGCATTTGCAATTCACTCATTCTGTTTGTTATTCTGTATGCTACTGTGTTGAAACCCTATCTCTAAGGGAAAAAAAAATCAGCAGGACAAGCAGACAGTCATTTAGCTGGGGAATCCAACAACAAACAAACACTATATCAAGGTTTCAAGGTTCCTAATAGGCTTTATTGGCCTTGACAGCCCCCACCTAGGCGCTCCCCCACAGGGCCCAGAGCTCCCTTTCAGCTCAACTCTGAGCCTACTGTCCCTGCCAGCCCCTCTGAGGCAGGAATGTTGGTCTCCAGCATGCTCCAAGCCATGCCTGGGCCTGGCAATGGATCCACCTGACCCATGGACTGACTTCTCAGCTTGACCTCAGACTGCTCCCATCACAACAGACCAGTCTGCTGGGCTGTGTCTGACCCTAGCTACCTTCACCAGGTCTGATCCTGACCTGTGGATTGACTTCCCAGCTTCAGCTCAGACCTGCCTCGTCACCACAAATTCACACGGTGATCTGGACTCCTGGTTGAACCTGACTGCCAGGTGCTGCCCTCCCGGCTGTGGCACTGCCCTCGGCTCCTGGCTCCCCAGCCCTCATCATGCCCTGACACTGCCCTCACAGCCACGAAATAATTGATTAATACAACAAAAATGATAACACTAAGGCTTAAAATACTCATCTTTAGAGAAAGAATGAAAACTGGGTCTTCTTGCAGCGTACTTTTAAGGATATTTGACACTGATCTGGTCTTGTGAGGTGAGTACAGAGATCCAGCTCCTATAAAGACCAGGATGAGGGATGACCAATACAGGGGAATCCCTCAATGCATCAGCCACAGCTCAGCTTCAGTATGAGCTCTTAGCTGAGGTGTACTCAAGGCTAGAGGGAAGATGACTTTTTCAGCATTATACATCTATTGTGGCAGGTACTTTAGCTCTAGCATGTCTCTATACCTGAGGGAAAATATCCTACCGGTACCACATTTCTCCTTATCTCACTAAATAGGTTGAGTATCTGAATGATAAATGTGATCTATTTACAGATCTATTTACATTTAATCTATAATATCTATCAGCTGATAGATATTATGTTCCTGCCAGCATATGGGACTAAATAGTATAAATTCTCTTGTATCTAATTAGCAAATAAGACAGATATGCTAATCTGATTAAAACTATAAATATGGCCTATTTGCAGTAAATAAACTTTTAAATTTATGTATTACATATAGGTCTTATTGAAAATAGTACTACCTTAAATGTAAAAATACACACAATGATATAAAATACAGATTGCCATTTCATGGACTAATAGTTACGGTCTATTTTCCGAACAAATGAAAATTCTCAATTTTATTGAGAAGTCAAAATGTCATTATTATATAAAATGCACTGATACAAAGATACTAATAAATATTTCTATACCTTTACTATTTAAGAGTGCCGGTTCTCTAAGATAACACTGTGAAGGCCAGCTTACTAAATCTTATTTTTTTTCTCTAAATGGCAAGAGCTGTATCTTAAACCAAGCTGTAAGCACAATAAAACACACCATACCTTTGCTGTATAAAATGAAGTGCAAGCTATCATATGCTGAATACTCTCGTAACATCCTGCCTGCCTCCTCTGCAAAGTAGCACTTGGAATTTCTTGAAGGACAGCCAAGCACTTAATGAGGATCTGTAAATACAAGGGTTAAAGCAAAGTTTGGAGTATGCAACAAACTTACAAGCTTGTACCTCTGTACAGCCTATTGTATTTAATGGTAAACATTAAAAATACTTTGAAATCTAACAGATAGGATAAAATGGTAACTCAACAAAAGCCAATAATAAAATTCCCATTGAATTTAATGGTGTCAAGATTTCAATCACAGTCCTTTGGAATAAATGGCATGTCCACATAAAATCTCAGACATTAAATTACAGATACATGATGGCTATTTTTGCTGACTTAATTAACATGGAATCAAGGAATGCTTAATTCAGTGAGATTACATACTCCTACAGAGCACTGCTTAAAAATACATCAAGCTGGTCAGAATTTTAAATGCAACAAAAATGTTTCCAGTATGCTTTAAAAATAAAAGACTTTCTCCCATTTTTGTCTATCATCAGACATGAAAAGAACATGTGACTAAATTATTTTTCCTTTTAATTAGGAAATCTGAAACAGGAGCCATTTCCAGTGGCTAGCTGTGCTTTTAGTAGGTCATTACAGCCAATGACTTCTTAAATAAGAGGTTATCCCTGTGCGTAAACAGATTTTTTTTTTTTCTAAACACTCCTAAAATCTTCTCAGGGCCCTGAATGCCCAATAATTGCTCCCTGAGCAGCCTCACTTGGGGCCTTCTCTCACACCTTCTGCCCAGGGGCCCAGGAGTGCCATTTAAGCTCATATACAAGCTTCCAGTCCATTCTTGAGCTACGGTATTGGTGTGCTGGTCCTCAGTTCTGTCTCCTGAATGGACCTTGGACCCATGTTGTAGCCTTGCCTCCAGTCTCTAGCTCCAACTCCTGCAGCTCCTGACTTTTTCTCCTGGATGGCCAGCCCAATAACTTCACCTTCTCTGGACTCTCAGTGGATCCTCTTACCAACACGCTGCTCTGTCTGCCATGTTCAGATGCTGTTAGTCTGTGCCTTGTCTGCACTGCAGTCACCTCATCCTTCCTCATAGAGCAAACATGCTCTTATTGCTGCTCCCTGACAAAACTACCTAGTTATGGGAAAAAAGTTGCATGTTTCTACTGTATCTTTGCTGAATCTAAAAAACAACTCTGCCGCTTCAGAAATGGCAGGAAAGGATTTAGGTTTTCTCTGTTTTTCTCTGTTTTCAAAGAGAGTGTTCTTGCTTCTGGAAAGGAGCACATGCCTGAAAACTAAAGACTGCATTATCTAAGCATTGAATAGCCTTTTTTTAAAGAAGATAAGAAAACTGTAAATGAAACATTCCAAAAAAGGCCATAGGAAAATGCTGCTTTTCTTTCCTCAAAATTGCCATCTGCAAATAGCATTCAACTAGAAGTTACATTCTTAGATTCTACTGTAGTTTAAAAATACCAACAAATCATCCTCAAAAAACAATATTCTACAGTTACTTTAACATATCTGAGAGCAGAATCTGTGCAGCTTACACTGAACATATATGCACTGGGAACACATAAAACAATAAAAAGCTTTTCTTTCAGCAGCTACTAAGAACTTGAAGCCTAGATAGTTAGTTCTCCCACTGTACACTCCATTATAAGTTTAATTTGAATCACTATAATTGCAGGTCTTGGATACCAGATGCTTTGTCTTAAAATACTCTCACCTGAACTACTGGCACTGAAGAGATCTTGTGATAAATAATTGGAGCAAGGAGACCATAACATTGTACAACAGACTGCAGGGTGTAGCTTGCATCATTCAACCAATTGCTAAGTTCAATTGCCACAGTCATTCTTTCACATTCTGCTAATCTAGCAACCTGTACAAGAAAAACACATTTTGATTCAAATATGAATTCTGTTTTTTATCATTTTGTTTTAAATCATTTGAGAGTGAGAGAAGACAGATGTTATTGCAGTTTAAAAAGCAGTGTTAAAAAGATAAAAGTTTAAAAATTAATTTACATTGACATTGGTTAGAAGTATATGAACAAATGCAACATTATTCATGATTCTAAAGGCAATGATTGTTCTTGACTTAATTGTGCTTTCTGAATTTATCCATATAATTTACAAAGCCTGGTTAACAACCTCAACCTGTGTGGACTGGAAATTTTACATGCTAACCTCTCAGAGTAGGTAAGGGGAGGATAACAATTCCTTCTTTCCCCTTCCAGTTATCTGCTGCAGTCCTTGCTTGTGTGAATAGATCCAGTAAAATCACTGAGTATTCGACTGCTCACATTTTTATGAGACAAGTACTTCAGCAAAGAAAGAGTGGAATACGAATGTAATAATACAGGAGGCAAAGCTTGACTATCCAAACAAAAAAGAAAGTTTTTTGTGTCATTAACATGGTATTATACTATAAGAAAGTCTGAAATAAGATAAAAGAAGCTTAGCATATTAAACCCATGAAACCCTGCTAGAAGTTAAATATTAATGAAAATATATGTATTAAATAACAGAAATGTTTAAAATTAAAAAAACAAGGTGCATCTCAGGAGGACAAAAACAACAATTACACTTTTTTCTTAAATTATAATCTACCACTGAAGTCAAGGAAAACCCTTCCTTGCGTTTGGATTAGGCAATAACTGATTCAGAAACCAACTTTCCACCAAGATACAACATAACCAACAGCTATTAAAATGATTCAGAAAGGAAGACCAGGTAACTCACAGAAAATGAAGTATTCTGTAAATAGGATTAGCACATTGCAACATTTATCTGGCAATGATGAAATAACCTGATCAAAAAGTAAAATCAAATCAATATTATTTTAAGCCATACATACTTGTTCCTTATAAAGTATCTCATTGGAACAGATGGAATCACAGAAGAGTGCTCCTTCCATGACATTAATATCACAGACAGCAAATATATTCCTTAGAAAGAGGTGCAAGGTAATAGGAGAACTCTGAGATACAGCTTCAAAACGTAACCTGCAAAATAGAAAAGCGAAAGAATGGTAAAAGCATGTTAATGACGATTCATATATTGCATGCCTGAAAATGCGTTATATTAAAATGCAGTCTTTAATTTTAAAATTATGGACAAAAAGGATTACTGTAGCTACTTCTGGAAATCAGATTTATACATAAAACTGAAAAAATTGCTTAAAATTTCTAACATAAAAAATAAATAAAAGGGATAAATCGACTTCTTTTCAAATTGGTGTCCACCTTCTACTATCCTAAGACAGCTTTTCCTTAGCTGTTTCATCTAATCCAATGAAACTTACTTTGAACTTTCTTTGAAAACTTGGGATTCTACAGCTTATTTATTTTAACTATCTCCTTTTACACATTACTTTTCTGTGTTATGACAATGACACACGCAGTTGTGAAGTCCGTTACTAAGTATTAGTAACAGACTCCTTTTCATCACTGATGTCTTGTATTACAAGTCTCAAAAGAATCTCTTTTCTTGTGCCTGCTTTTTTGTTGGGCGCTTTTTTTTTCTTCCCTGGGGGTAGGGGGGGTATTTGTCCTTGTTATATTTTTAAAATATTTTTGTTAGAGGAAAAATCCTATGATTTTGAAGTATAAGAAATAAATTCCCCCTTCTCCTCGATTGTATTTCCTTGAAGAGACTGCAACTCAAGAAGGAAGATCAAATAGACACATTCATATACTTGATATTACCAAGATATCAACAGGGCTTCTGGCTGGAAACATGAGGTTTCCTTTCCTTCCAGCTCCCTCTACTGTCTCTTTTAAGTCCTATGTACTTTCAAGCTAGTCCATCTAATTTCCTAGCTACTGATCAGTAAAACTGAAAGTGCCTTATTTCAGGTCTGATACTGCAGCTTTGAGACTCTTCCCTATAAATTCGCGGGG